GGGGGGGGGGGAATCTGCTGTGCTGTGCGATTTATATTAATATAAATCGTGTGTCACAGCTGATCAGCGGGAAAATGGCTTCACCGTAACTGGTTTCATTTATTTTACTACTGGTTCAGGTGAACCAGTAGCATTTTTACTACAGGTTTGGGCGAACTGATTTGAACCAGTAGCATTTCACCCCCTGCTTAAGGGGAATATAAAGATAAATTTGGGGACTTTTCTCTTAGGCATAATTGATAAAGAACTTGGAAAAACAGTAGAACTTTGATATTATATACGCTGACAGAGGAAAAATGTTCTACAAACAAAAATGGAAGGATATTTTGATTCCCACAATGGAAGAATGGCTGCAAAAATGGATGGAGTTAGCAAAGATGGGCTAAATTGACTGTGGGTTATAAAAAAAGAATGCTGCAGTATTAACTTTGGTTCTGCTTGAAACCGCTTTTGGACTTTGTTCTTGGGGTAGGAAAAAAAAACCCTTTAACTTTGGATTTTGTTAATCAGAAGGTGGCTCAGGTGGCTAACACACTGTCGATCAGAAAGGTTGACAGTTCGGCGGTTTGAATCCCTAGTGCCACGTAATGGAGTGAGTTCCCGTTACTTGTCCCAGCTTCTGCCAACCTGGCAGTTCTAAAGCATGTAAAAATGCAAATAGAAAAATAGGAACCACCTTTGCTGGGAAGGTGACAGCGTTCCGTGCGCCTTTGGCGTTTAGTCATTCCAACCACATGACCATGGAGACGTCTTTGGACAGCGCTGACTCTTCGGCTTTGAAATGTAGATAAGCACCTCCCCCTAGAGTCGGGAACAACTAGCGCATATGTCCAAGGAGAACCTTTACCTTTTGTTAATCAGATAAGGATTTCGTTTTGCTTCGTTTTTGTTATAGAAATGTGTCTAATAAAAATGATGTGCATATTCAAATCCATGGCAAGACTGAAATTAAAATGCTTGAAATATTCCACCCAGCCATCACACCACCTATTTCTTATCTTTGTCCTTACGCTGCTCTCGACATTTCTATTCAAAAGATGTGCAGGTGCCCCTTCTCTAGTGTTACTAGGGATTGGAAAAGAACCCAGGTTCTTTTCAAGGAAGGGTCTTCCACGGATCACAGACCTCCACCGTCACCACAGCAGAGAAAGGACTTGTGTTCTCCAATTGTGGCTCTGCTATGCAACCCAACCTCAAGCAGGTGCAATTTCTGCCTGCCTCTCTCAAGGGAAGGGGCCCTGTGACAGCCTCAATTTCAGAGTTAAATTGCTTGTTTTCTCTGAAGAAACGGCTTCTTTTGCAGGCCTGGTCTCCTGAGAAGGCCATAATGTTCAGTGTGTGGTGTTTGATTTGCCTAGAGTGGCCTTCTCTGCATTGGACTCTGGCGTTCCCAAGGCAGGTGCCATTCTCAATCCTATATTTGATTAACTATACTCTTGATTGGGCCCGATCATCATTTCATTGTAAAGAGTGAGGTTCTCTGAGCTTGTCAACTTTTAAGACTTATGGACTTCAACTCCCAGAATTCCCCAGCCAGCATGACATAGCTGGCTGAGGAGTTCTGGGAGTTGAAGTCCACAAGTCTTAAAGTTGACAAGTTTGGTGACCGCTAGAAAGTCCTTTTAGCTTGTTGTTGGGATTGCAAACATTTCACTGCATACTAAATAATATCATCAACACCACAGATGTGAGGAAGTTTGGTCTTTTGGTTGGTAAAGCTTGTGTAGATGCAGGGGTGGGTTCCTGCCAGTTCTAACCTCTTCTATAGAAGAGATTCCACAAATCTCCAGTGCCGTTTAGAACCGGTTCCAGCTCCATCCTCCTGCCCGTCCGAACATCAAGAGCGAGAGGAGGAATTCTGGGAGTTGAAGTCCACAAGTCTTAAAGCTGTCAAGTTTGGTGACCGCTAGAAAGTCCTTTTAGCTTGTTGTTGGGATTGCAAACGTTTCATTGCATACTAAATATCATC